TTTTCTAATCAGAAAAGCTTTTAAAGAATATCTGGCCAGTCCCCGCTGTGGCTGCAATCAAATTTCCTTTAAAATCATAAAAGATTGAGCTTTCCAAGGAAGAAAATCTGCAAAGTTGAGTTGTCAACAGAGAGGCACAGCCAGCTGCACTGTCAGCTCTGGGCGTGAGCAGCTGGGATGGAAATACAGCACAGATCTCAAAATAACCGCCTGGTCCTCGGCTCTCCGGGTGCCTGCTCGCCTGGATGGGATCCCGGTGGGCTGTCCAGCGTGCTGATGCTGTCTGGGTGGTGCGGTGTCTCTGACACAGAAATAATGCCCTCCACCAAAAAGAGTTGAGCCAACGGCCAGGCACCTGGCTTCTATATCTACGCTTGTATACATGTTTTGATTTTTATTTTTGTGTGTCCATTTTCTACTGCATTTGTGACAACTGAATAGGAGAGAATGTTAAAAAGCACTTCCATAAATTAAATCAAATTAAACTTCTTTGGGAAATCTGTTCTTGCTTTCTGGAGACTCAAAGAACAATGCGACAGCAGGGCGCAGACGTATTTTCTGCAGTTTTCTTATGGTTTATGCTTAGAAGATTCACGTCTTTTTTTCTTGTATTTCCTATAGCCTCTTTTGGTTTTCTCACCTATCCTCAAAAAAACAAAACAAAAACAAAAACAAAACCAACCAACCCCAAACCCAAACCAATCCCCACCTCCCCAAATCAAAGGCTATAACAAGCACATCTTACAAGTATCAATAAACCCATGTATTGAAAGAGCTGGGAATGCTTAAAATCTAGCTGCAATTAAAAAACTAGCATGTTCTTCAAGTTACTGTTGCAATAATTATCAGCCTCTCCCTCTCTAAGATAGGCACCAGCAATATACATGATATTTTTTGAAAGATCTAGGGAAAGATCAGTGGCTTTGGGAGAAATCAAAGAGAAGTAGCGATTAAAGATTCCAGGAGGCAACAAAGCATTTATGCAAAGCGTCTCATAAAAACAAAACAAATAAGGGGAAAGAAGCTATATGGGGGGAGCAGAGGGAGAGGTACTTACACTCTTCTTCCATAACAACTATTTTACTTTCTGAGGCTGGTAAGACTTGTGGTGCTTTCGTTGTTCCTGGGGAAATTAAGGTAAGAAAGTAGTGAACAAAATATCTGTTTTGAGCAGGGAAGAGTGGGCTTAGCTACTGCAGGGAGGAGGACAAGAGCAAGTGCTGCTGGGTGGCGCGGGCTGGGGCGGCTATCACTGTGTTAGTACTGGTTAGAGTACGCTCGGATGGGTCACAAGGCAGATCAACGAGTGCCCCTGAGGGATGGCACCAGGCACCGGTCCCCTCACTGTAAGAGGCCTCGTGCCATTAGGCTCCGTCATGATAAAAGGCAGAAATGGCTCAGAATTCACTTGGCAGGTGATGAGCGAAACTGTGGGAGGTTTTCTTAGCCTTGACGTCCACGAGAGTGCAAAGATGGGATCACAGAACAAAACTGTGAGAAAAATGTGGGGTTTAAGAAAAGGTGAGATCATCTGAAGAGCCTCCACCCCACAAGTACGTGCAGTTCTGCAGCACAAAGTAATGCTCGTACAAGAGATGGAGGAGCACGAAACAGATGAAGGCCATGGCCCAAGGCAATACGGGAGCCGAACATATGTAGTGATTTCCTCTTTATAAACCAGGATACTGGGAAAGTCCAATGTCCACAGTCACCAGCTCTACTCAACTGCTGGCAGCAACAGCCCCTTCCTTCTGGATCAAAGCCCCTCACCTCCCTCCAGATGCACAAAGGAGAAAGCACCAGGAGCCCATGCTCCAGGAGACAGGGGGTGAGACCACCATGAAAAGGTAAAAGCAGAAAGAATTTTTGGTAACAGTTTGATTTTTCCTGCAGTGTTTAACAAAGGGGGGGTGTGTGTGTGTGTGTGTGTGTGTCAGTTAAGGAGGTGTCTAGAAATTTTCTGAGGAAAAAAAAGAAAGTGTCACATCTCAGCTGCACCCTCATGCCCATGTGATACCCATATTAGACTGCTTAATAAAGAGAACTGGGAAATGGGGCATTTTTCTAAGAAAGCATCTAATTTACCTCGAAGTAATAAAAATCTGAAAATAGCACCAAAGCACAATATGTTTTGACTAAACCGAGAAGCATTTCCTCAGAAATCGACTCCCTCCCAAAGCTCTTCAATGCAAAAGCATTTATTTCTGAGCTGGGCATTTTGTGGAAATTCCAGAACTGCAGAGGAGAGGTGAGGTGATGGGTCTGGCTGATGGGCATTTTCTAAGTGACGAGGGGCCAGTGCACTGCAGCCACTGTCTTTCTAAGGTGGTGTTTTTGGTGATTTGCAACAGATCTGCATGGCTGAAAAGGTGCTCTTTTGAAACTGGTATAAACCAAAAAGTGGTAGTGGAATAGAGCAAAGAGCACTTTGCAATGGCAATGGTGCCTCATCAGGCTGAGAAATTTTTACTAGCAGAGACTGAATCTCAGACCTTCATGTCCATGGGCCTGAGCGCTCATGTATGATTTCCTTCTCTGCCAGCCAGGACTCAGGTGGGCTCAGGAACCTCAGCCTCTGGCTTCTGCACCCCTGGAGGGGACTGGCATGTTGGGCTGAGGACTCCTTGCTCGTTCAGGACAGCTCACCTCAAGCCTCAACAGCTCAGGACACCTCTTGCAATGTCACCTCTCTACAGGGGCACCCAGAGATGTCCCCAGACCTCGTGTCTCTGTGTCACAAGATGCGGTGTTAGCTCAGGACCTTTTTTCCCAGTCCTGGATTCACTCGCCTGTATCACAGGAACATTACAGGACCTCCAACAATACTACTAAGGGTCAGGTCAGAAAGCGTGCTTCCAGCAGACAGTCCAGAGCATCAGTCCCAGCCAGCCTGCCTGGGACAGGCAGGTGTACCAGGTTCCCAGTGACAGGGCAGCAGTAAAGAAGCAGAATATAAATCTGCAGAACATACAGAAACAGCAATAGCTGGCGTGAGCTTCTGGGAAAGAGGGGAAGGCTCCAAGGGGATGCCAGCTCACGTGTCTGCTCTTGATTGTTATAGACTGCTAGAGCTTCACATAGCACTGTGTTGAGACTTAGCCACAACAGGATCAGTGCTAAGGAGCCTGGGGAAGAATGCAGGCAGGGACAGAAGACAGCACACATGCGGATTCAGAGACAAGCAGATGCCCTGAGGAGTTTTCTACTGAAAGATATCACAGAAGAAGGGAGCTTGCAGAAGTGAGGAAAGCTGTTAAGGTCCCAAGAAGGCCCAGCAGTAAGGAAAGAGGGAGATGCCAAAAGCCTACAGTGATCATCATCTTGTTTACCTTTGCAAGGGACTACAACTAGGATTCAACTGCTGTCCTGCCAGGTGACGTGCAAATAGCAGCAACGACGTGTGCATGCAGCTGAGAGTGGCAAGCCAAAGGCAGATTTGCAGGTCAGCTTAGAAAATGGATTAACCAAGACACCACCACAGCAGGGCACAGCAGGCAATCTACTGGATCTGCAGCACCTTGCAGCCTGCAGCTCCCACTAGGAAAAGATACAGGCCAGATCTTTGGGTCTTTTTGGTTGCTTTTCAGGTCTCAACACATTTCTGGACAACTCACGTGTGTCCTCATACCCGCTGTGATCTGAGTGAGAGCAACCACCCACCCTTGCCAGACAGCACGCCTTCCTGCGGAGGAAGAGCTGAACCGTGACAAATGCTGCCATTACCTGTGCATGTGGGAAGGGGCCGTACGAAGCTGTAGTGGCCTGACGTGCATTTTCCTGGTGCAGGATCAGAGCCTTGCAGCAGGCACTGCTCAATCATGCTCTTCCTCTTGTGAAACGGGATTGCTAGTGACTGGGAAGGGCTAGCGGAGGAGGCAGACAGGGCTCTGATGGCAGGCACATGCTGCCCGTGCACGTTGCACATGGGGAGGGGGGGTGCACATGCAGCTCCCAGTCAAAACAGGAACAGTTCACATTGCGATGGGACAGCCGGAGCGTGAGTCAGAAGAAAAGGAGTGGCACTGCGTCAGTTAGCTTACTCTGGACACCTTTCCTATCGTGCTCGGAAAGAAACACAGCAGAGCAGTATGGCTAACTTCACAGATATGAAGCATGAAGGCATGGAGGTCTGAGCACGGGTGGCCTTTCTCCAGACTCTGCAAGCACGGGGTTTTTACAGGCAGAGTAACTGAGGGAGAGGCTATGTAATACTGCAGCTTCACAGAATAAACGATTCAGTACTGCAGACACTGCTGAGGCAGAGGTTAACAGAGAAAATAATGCCAGAAAGCAGCAGGAGAAAGTTACCTTCACATTTGGCTAATGCTAATAAGAGCACAACAGAGAAACTGGATCATGCCAAGGGGTTGCAGCGCCCAGAGCCCAGGCTCCCACAGCGCCCGTGGTGAATGGCAGGAGGAAGAGCTTAGGAAACAGAGCTTGCACAGAGTCATCCCTCCCCCAGTCACACCCTCCCGGCTTCTGGCACCCACTGTAGGGACTTTCTGAGCTGGAGGGTGCATCCAAACCATCATGTTAAGCAATGTAATTATTATGACCAAGGTAATAATAAAACCACCTAACCTCAGACTCCATCCACTGAGCTCTAAGAGATGGAGCCCACATTCTAGGATGAAAACCAGAAGCAACTTCACTCATCACAAAGCTATGGTTTAATTACTTGTCTTCTGGTGAGTTTTGCTTCTCAGAAATTCTTTAAAAAAAGAAAACATCAAGTCCACCAGCTTGCTTTCCTCCTTAACCCTTTTAAAAAAATACATAGACTGTAAGTTTATTTAAAATGTAAATTAACCACATTGCCAGTGACAGATAACAAAGATAAACATTTATGCTAAGCTGCATTTTTCTTATCTCCCAAGATTGTTTTACTCGATATCCTGAAAGCATGAAACAAAATACAAGACAGATCATGTGCAGAACCTCCTGCTTTCTGCTTGAATGGCAGACAGCTCAAGACATTTGCTGGCTTCTCCACTTACCACTTTTCACATTCAGGCTGCCTTTTGCGGTGCCTTTCCCTAAAACGTTCTCCGCTTCACAGCTGTACTCCCCAGCATCTTCCAGCTTCACCTTGTTGAACTGCAGTCTGGAAATCTTTCTGTTGAAAAGTACAGCAGACATTTCTTACTCGATTGCTAGCCATCCTCATGAATTGATAACCATTCCTGGCCCTGGTACACTGCCCGTTAAGTCACACCTTCTTGAGAGGATGGGCTGCCTGACCTCACAAGCTGAATAGGGACTCAAGCCTGGTCAGGATTTGGATGTGACCCTTCCCAGGAATCACATTCACCATGATTTCCTAAATAAACATCTCCTTCTGGACCCCCCCTGCTCTTAGCGTGTTGCCATGGTTTGGTATGACACCTGCTCTCATTTGCACAGAAAGTCTCGTGAGGGGCTGAGCCTGAGGGTCCCAGCACCCCAGCACACAGACTTTCTGCACTGGAGAAAAGCCACTTTGCTGATGGATGGTGGGATCTGCCTGTGAGGAGATGTGGAGATGAGATGCATGTTCTGCACTTTCCTCAGCAAGGAGGCCGAGCAGTCCGGGGCTTCACCAGCTGCGTTCAGCAGTGCCACACACTCAAACACAAACACCCACAGGGTCGGGGGGGACTCATCCCTGTCCAGCCTGCAAATCAAAACCCTTGGTTTGACCTAGACAGCTAGCTTGTAGCTTTATCTGTGCCAACAAATAGGGCAAGCGCTTTGTCTCCCTGAAATACACTCACTCCGATGTACTACAGACATGTGGGGCTGAACTGCACGCAATCACCTTACAGCCACAAGTGCCTAGGAAGAGCAGAAGATGATGTACATCATGATGCTTGCCCGTGTCACCTAACAACCTGTGCTGCCTGCTTCATGGGAGAGGGAGCAGCCCTGCAGCAGAGCTCTGTGGCACTTCAGGGAAGACGAGCATCGCCTTTCCCACCAGCTATGACCGATGTCTCATTCTCTGGGATGTCTCTCTGACTAATAGGCAAAACCTTTTGTTGCCTACTTTATAGGAGCCTTTAACACACACTGAATACCACTCATGAGACCACACAGGGAGTCCCACATTAGACCCTCTGTTTTACTACGTTTCCTTCCATTTTACCCATCTTATCAAAAACCATCCTGCGTATTCTTCTTGTGAAAACATCTCTCTGCTTTCTACCCCAAGCTTTTATCTCAGGTCTGCGTCATGCAGTCACTTTATTTGAAGACTTGGAAACACTGCCAGCTTTAGAAAGAGGTCCCAGTGGCCTATGTCGCTGAAGGCAAATACAATTCCTCTTACGTGGAAAATAATCATTAGCTTTGGACGTATTTGCGATGTTACATGTGTCATCCGAGAAGGACTTTTCTTTGGGCTGTGCAAATCATCATCTATAGGAAGTCCTTTACTGGCATCTTTTTAACACCCTGACATGCTGTTCTACTGGGAGCCACGGCGCAAGGACACAGCACGAACATCTCACTAGTTATGTTAGTAAATTAAAAGCACTTGGAGACAACTTGGTACAGATCCCAGGATACAGGCGCTGCCCTGTTTTACTGGATGCGATCAAGTGTTCAATTGCATGAGTTTAGGCCCCATGAGGAGAAATTTTTAAATGGATGTTGACAGTATGCAAAGATCTCTTGAATCCCTCTAATCCTAGGTCTCCCCTAATCCACTGTGCAAAGCCAGTTATTTGGGCCAACATGTTCTGACATGGGTGCCTAACAAGAGGCTGATTCAGAGTGGTGCAAAGCTGCCTTGACTCCCAGTGCTGTACACTCCTCTGACTTTTCTCAAGCCTCTGAGAGCAACCTGGGCGTTGTGGTCCTCACTGTGTGATGCCTTGGGAGTCCAGCAGCATCCAAGAGACAGCAAAGCACTTCAGGGCCTCCAGGGCCCTGGTGGCAGTTGGGTTCTGCATCTTGCTGGAGACTTACGATGGGTGCCCGATGAAGGGGGTTGGCTGTTGGGCTGCAGTGCCCGGTCCAGGATCACGTTGCCCACTCCCTCCGCAGAGGCAGGTGTAGCAACACTCGGCAAAGGGGCGAGGTGGGCTCCTGGTACCACTGCATGCAACTCCAACAAGACTGCCCCCAGCCATTACTTTCTCTCGGCTGTCTCAACCCTCATTGACAGAACACACCACTTGTTTTATAAACCACCCTATGACAGGCTTGTAGCTATTGCTGCAGAGTGAACAGGCAGGCAGCACGTGTTGAAAGCAGCTCCGAAGAGCGAGGCTCTAACTCAAAAGTCCTGTAGAAAACACCACCCTCGCACACCAGCATGCTGAGGCTAACTGCCAGTGCAGGTCTGAAAGCACTGATGAACGCGCTGCCTTCAGCTGTCAGAGGATAGATATTCTAATGATAATTGGCTGCATTGCAACCTCCTACGCACAGCACGTTTCACTGTGCGTCGTAACTGGAAAAATACACTACAGGATTAGAATATCACCTATGTATGTGATCTTTTACAGATTAAGGTTTTTAAGTCCCAAAGATACAAACTAGTAAGTTGTTAGTGACAGAAAAGGCTAATGAAAGGGGGCACACCTGACAGATTCATCTCCAAGAGCAGGATGAGAGACATTTGGTCTTTTACCTGGAACTGGAGAGGAATGTGAGAAGAATAAAAAGCAATGCTGGTATTTATAGCATATCAGCTATATCAAGGTGAAAACAGAGAATTATTTTGTTTTAATGTGCAAGACTGTTGTATTGTCAAAAGAGCTTATTTTTATTTTCCATTACAGTTTGTTGAAATCCTCCTGGAGTCTAAGATTCTCTTGAAAAATCAAGAGCTTTTTCTTGCTTTTCATACCCCAGACCAATGGTGTCTCCACATTGTGCTGTATCATGTCAGGTAACAGACTTGGGGAGGGGAATGAAGGGTAGAGACGAGGATCAGTTTTAATGTGGAGCATAGGCACAGCAAAGAGAATTTCCCTGTTCCAGGAAGCACTGAAACAGCCAGGGAAATACCTTGTTTCACAGCATTAGTCACATGCCTTTTAATTCACATGGGTAATGCCTGTGCACTAGAAGAACTGAACTGAAGGATGTAGAAGAGACTAGACCTTCCTTCATCTGCGTGTGGCAAAGACAAAGATGACCAGTCCGTCTCTGTTCTATTTTATTACCTTCAAGAGCTACTGAAATATCTCAAAACTGCCTAGGAAATTGGTTTTTCAAGTTTGTGTTCTTCCTCCTGTTGCCCCGGAGGGCAGTACTTTGTTCACTTGAGGGCTGAGGCACGTTTTTACAGAAACACCAAGTAGCAGCATATGAGGAGTTACGTTGTGCACAGGAGTTTTGTATCATGTGCCCTGCTGCCCTTCTGGGCAGCGTGTTTCCTGGGGACACCAGCCCCTGGGAAAGCCCTGCCATGTGCATTCACAAGGATGCCTGGCTGCCAGACGATGCCATTCCTCTGGAGGAAGGCACTGCCCTGGGCTGTTTGTTCAGTGAAAGGGCCCGGGTCACTGACAGATCCCATCATTTCACTGCAGTGCAACCCTGTTGACATTTCTTTACTCCAGGGGAAAAACTGCCTCATTGTCTTTTCTGGCCCTCAGCACATATGACTTAGCCACGCACTAATTATCTCCTGTAGTGCCAGTGGAGGAATAAGCCATGGGGAATATGTTGTCTGCAAGCTCTGGGGGATAGGATTCACAAGGAGACCTCCAGCCTGGCCAAAAGAAGATCCCCAAAAATACCTTTCTGGCCAAGAGAAAGAGTCCCACAAAGGGCAGTTTGGAGCAATGAGTAAATCATCCTCTTCAGTGCCAATCTCCAGACTACAGTGGGAAACAAGGAGATCAGCCCTTGGCCGGGACCTACACAAAGAACCTGGCAAATTCTGGCTGGGAAGGCCAGCCTCATCTGCTGTAATTTAGGCATCTCAAATATCTAAATGTGAGCTTGGGCCATGAAGCCTCCAGTATACTCAGAGGAAAAGAAACAGGCACTTCACGTTAGCCAAGGAGGAACTTTGCATGACAGGAGTCATGTTCCCAGCAGCAGTTTGGTCAAGCTTCAATCATTTTTCTCCTCTTCCCTACTGCCACGTGTAAATAGGACCATCTTCCCAGGTCACCTCCTCGTAAAGCCATTCATGTCAGAGTGTGCGAGCAGGACAGCAGCTGCCACGAGCTGCCTCCGAGACACCTACGTTTCACCGAGGACTCAGCATTCCCTATGTGAGTTCAGCTGCTTCTGCATCATTCAGGACAAAAATAGCTCTAGGATTACTACTGTTGTAGTATTTTATCAGTCTGCTAAAAATAGGGTAGCTAACACATAAGTAATAAAGAAGTCAAGGAATTAGCTGATGAGGAGAATTTGAAGACTACACCATATGTGGCCCCTAAATTGTCAATGAAGAACACTGCACATAGTAAACACACCTGAGATCCTAGGGAAAGGAAATTCCCAAACATGACCCTTGCAAAGGACACAGTGAATACACTGCCGTGGTTACCTATTAACTCCATTCCTCTCTGTTTGCACGGAGAGCTGGTGGCAGGAAGCGTACCGATATTGCAGAGAGCAGAAAGGCCAGCAATTGCTCTAACGTGTGCTGCTTATACTCCTGCCAAAGATTTAATTGGTCCCTATGTGCTGTCCTGGCACTCTGCATGGTACTGCATTTGTTCTGATAGAGCAGGTTAATGATTGGCAAGAAGAATCAGAATGTCCAATTCTTCAGCTTACAGTCAAGACACGTTGTCCAGCAACCGTCAAACATCAGGTAGCCCCACTGGCTGGGGCAGGGGCTCTCAGTGCCCTGGCCTCAGGGAACACATTCATCTTCCCCAGCACACAGTGGGATAAAATCAGGTAGAAGAGATGACTGCAATGCAAAGCAGAGTGCAGATGGCCTTGGCAAAACACCTCTGTCCAGCAGGGCAGAAGGGGCAGCCAGGAGCATCCTCTCCTCTGCACAGCCAGATGGAAACCACCCCGATCGCTTCCCTGCCCTTCAGTGACAGAGCAGAACAACTGAGCTGGGCAAGCTGACTGTGCCTTGCAGTGCTTGAGAAAAACAAGTGGCCCTATGCTGGCTGCTATACACTCTAGGGCGTGATCTGGCTAGCTCAG